AGAGGAGAGGAGAGGACCTTTTTGCTGGTGTTGACTACCTTGTACATTTACTAAAGTGTATATGATTCCTCAATCTTAATGGAGTCTGTGGATGCGAATTATAGAACACAAACTGAAATGCAGCAGAATTTAATTAATCAGGAATTAAGAGATGTAACTTTAACATAGTAACTAACTGGAACTTTGCTTACCTGCCCTTTGGCATCCTCTGGCATGGATTTGATATGTATTCTTTTGAGACACCGAATCACTCCATCGTAGAACTGTACAGTGAAGGTTCCTAGAACACCATCACCACAATGGGAAAGATATTTATTATTTATTTATTTAAATGATGCTTTGGTCCTGTGTTTCCCAACCATGGCAGCTTTAAGATGTGTGGACAACAACTCCCAGAATTCTTTAGTATGAAATGCTTGCTGGGGAATTCTGGCAGTTGAAGTCCATACATCTTAAAGTGTCTGAAGTTGGGAAGCACTGCTTCAGTCCTACAAATGCACACACACTTGAACATCAGCTCCGGTATTTCATGTCATCCTTAGCATGCTAAATTTCTTCAAACTTCATTCATTGTTTTGGGAGATATGGGGAATATGAATCCCGTACTTTTTAAAATAGTACATTTTTGTTATTCAGCTTAATATTGCAGACAGCTTAACATACACAGAATTACATTTTAAGGGAATAAATGATAAAAAAAAAAATCCTCAACTAGCATATAGAAAAACTCCCAATATGAAAGTTTAAAGTTACCTAAATGCTTCAGCAAGCCATTTATATTCAAGCTTTTAACATCTATGTTATTTGATTTACAACCTATCTTCTGCTCTAGTGACTACTCAAGATACCTAACACATTAAAAAAAAAATAGCAGAAACAGAATCTATAAACATAAATGGAAGGTAATCCTAGCATCTACAATTAAAACCCTGCCTTTAAAAAATGCATCTTTATAGAAGTTTCAAGACTGTGAGGCCAAAAAACCTATTTGGGAGTACATCCCAAAATCAGGGAGCAATATAGGTTAAGGCCCTTTCCTGTGTGCCAGAAAGATGGGCCGCTGATTACAGCCGCATATTCCAAAGGGCCTCTCATATAAGTCTTATCAGATGGAAACACTCATGCTGGAGAGGCTCAGATCATGAACTATTTAGAGCTTTGCAAATTAATACCAACACCTTAAATGGCGCTTGGTAAGCAACTGGCAACCTATGCAGATCCTTAAGTATAGAATGGAATCACACAATCACATTACCTTGTACTGATCAGCCAGCTAGTTGCCACATTTTGCACTAATAGCAATTTCCAGGCATTTTTCACGGATAACCTCACATACAGCACACGGCAGTAGTCAAATGATAGCAACATTTTGCTTTTTTGAAAAATTGCATTTTGCAGTCTTTTTTGAAAAATCTAAGCCATTTCATACACATTTTTATAATGCTCCATACTGCAGAGAGGTAAAAGTAAGTAACTGTGGTTTGACTAAGGGACTTTAGTGAGTTTATACATACAAAATTTTAACTGATGACTTCTTGCGTTAACCTCTCATCGTAACTAAACTATGCCACCTCTTAGGCTTTGAAAACAGAGCCTCGTGTATATTTTTTGATAGTGTTACTTTCAGCATTTGAGTCTAAATACTTCTAAGATATAGCTTTAAAACCGTTTTAAAATCTGCACAAAGCTGTGCCACATATTATAGTTTACATTCATATAAAAACATGGAAGAGCATGCTTGAAATTGATTTAAGAACTGGGTTTGGGTCTTACATACAGTACACATTTCACTGCTATTACTATTTGGGAATAACAGTTGCTGTCCTCAAAGTATTAGCTAAAAATGTTTTCCACTCTCCAACCTACTGAAACACAAGCATGAATGCCCCCACCCCCAAAATGGAAGGCTTCAACTGTATGCCAAAGGCCTGTAATACAAAATGAAGAAAACCATGATGCTGACATTTTATTTGTTTATTAGATTTATATCCCAGCTTTTATAGGGTTCCCTTCTCCAACTTGTCCCTACAACAGCAATCCTGTGAACAGACTGGACTGGGAAAAAGTGACCTGCCCAAAGTCATCTGTGAGCGAAGGTGGATTAGAACCTGGGTCTTTAGCCTTAGCCCAACACCTTAATCCAGTGTTTCTCAACCCTGGCAGCTTGAAGATGTGTGGACTTCAACTTTCAGAATTCTACCTTAATCACTAGGCCACACTGGCTCTCCATTTGTGCAGTGAAGAACACTTAAATGTGGGGTGAATATGACAGTTGTTCAAAAAAAAAAATCTGAAAGAATAGACCTATCAACAACTATTGTGGCGTAACAATTTAACTGAAGCTTCGTTATTTAGGGGGAATCTACTTCTGAGAATCAGATGAAGGGGATGTACAGAGAAAAGCTGTTGTCCTCATATCCTGCTTATCTGCTTCTCTGAGGAATCTGCCTTAATTGTTGTTAGAAAAAGCCATTAGACTGAATGGACTCCTGGTGCGTTCCAGCAGGAAAGGGCCCCTTTTCCTGACTGTGTACATACCTTCTTTGTTAATTGCTTCAATTTTTGCAGGGTAATATCGGCAATCTGTCCAACGAGCCAGAACCTCTTCTCCTGGTTTAAAATCCTGTTTTAAAAGAACATAGGGAATATGACTTAAAGCCTAACTCTGAAAAAGTCCACTACCCAAATATTATGGAATTAAGAGTTTCATTTTTCTATGCTCTTGGCTACAATTTGTGCTTGTGATTGTGGCCCAAGACTTCCATTTAAAGCCATTCATAAAGATTAAAGGAATGAACGCTTACAATAAATTCATCATCTTTTAGGCCCTCTTTCCTCAGTGAAGGCCGTTCAAGCGGACGCAATCGATTGCTATCCCAGTAAATCCATTCATCGTAACGATGACTCCAACGTTCGAAATGGACAAGCATCTTTCCTTCCTCATAGTCTATCTTCTCAATGCGTGAAGGATACCTTTAGAAAACAAACAAAAAGATGATACAGTACTTCCGCAGACTGTTCTCTCCAATCACTCGTCAAGAAATCCTTGTAATGTTTGTGTGAATTACTAATCCTGGAGTACTATAAATAATGATGCTAGGATCAGAAAGTGATGGCTTCTATAGCCCAGGAATAGGCTATATTCATGTACTTTCATATGATGCTTGTGGCCATATAATATTTATGCACATTCATTATATATAATTTGCACTCTTTATTGGTTTGTAACTTTTCCACAAGGTTTTGTTCAAAGCAGTTTGTAATGTATCAAAAACCATAGGCAGTTAAAAGTATAGTGTAATTTAAATAAACTAATTGGAAGCAAAAATAAAGCACAAAGATGTGATCTCACACACATGTCTGGATATGTCAAATCAGGATTTACTTTTGAATGGATATGTGCAAGATCATTCTGTAATAAGAAATAAAACACAGAATATTAGCTATTCCCAACAACATGTCTTCAAGAATTAAAACTCCTGTAATAGCCATGCTGGCTGGTGAATTCTAGTATTGCCATACAAATCCAACCAGAAAACATAGAGCTGGGAAATACACCAGTATATGCTGTATAAGATAGTATACTGGTTATTGCTCCATATTAAGCATCTCCCACTTAGCAGCTTCTTCTTTCAACTAAGGTACAGACTGCCAATTTTCCTTCAAGCCACAGAGACATGGACCTAGCCCAGGTATTTCTCACTCCAAACACCTCTACTATGACTGCTTTCAAAACTGAACAGCTTTTAATCAGCTTCTTGACTAACAGTGTGGCCACAGAAGGTGAAAATGTTCAACCTCTAAATATTATTTACACTGCACCTAACATGAAATGTGTTCTCATGAATCCTCTGTGCAGGTCATTGACAAGGCAAGAACACAAGGGGAAAAAAGCTGTGACTTTTGTGCCAGGATTGATCAATAGAAGGTATTAATCCACCCCCCCCCCAAAAAAAACCTGCTACAGTCAACTTCCTAAACTATCCTTATGTTAATAAATTAGGGGGAAAATGTCTAGTTTGTACATATTTTATATTGCTGATCTTACCAATGATAAACAGCCATGTGAATAGTTGTTTAGAAGCCCAACTTAACATAACTTAATGTCAAAAGAGACTTCACATGGTTAAAATATTAATTCTCACTGAACTACAGAGCTCAATTAATCTTTCGGAGCCAATCACTTTCTATGAACCCTACGTTCCTCACAGGATAAAATTAGGAGACACCTTGAACTCTTATTATGATCATATTTATATTTGTAACCAGATTTACATTTAAGCACAGGATAATGCACAATTCTACAACAAATTCATTTAATACATGATATTAAACACATGCAAACCGTTTCAGGATCCAGTGCTATTATCATAGCACTTTAGGGTTGTTCATTATTCTCTGCTCCTTACATGGCTATCCAATTTGGTTGATCTGAGGCATGTACAGTGGTACCTCGGGTCACGAACGCTTCTGTTCACGACCAATTCGGGTCATGAACAGCTCCATTCGCAAAATTTTGCTTCCATCCGCGAACGCCGGATCGGGTA